GATTTGCAATTTGGGAATATTGTCCTGTATCCATAATGCAAGAATCCAGGCCTCTCAGCACTTCTATGGTGCAATAATCAAAATACAGAATGATAAAGAACAGTGTTGGGAAAGGTGTTGTATGACCAGGGACCCAAATTGATTTCAACTTGGGATGTTAGGGAGCAGTTTCTGATGCTCCAGGAACTTACATTAACAATCACAGGGCCTATGTCTCGGGCTTTTCCCTCTGGAAAATATATTTCAGACCCAAGAAATAAAGGAAAACCAGAAGGCTTCCTTAGAGTGACAAGATGCTGCACTTGAACCTCCCAGGGGACACGGAGGGAGGAAGCCTCTGACTGAGAACGAGGTAAGGCCTCGGGAGGAGAAGAGCAGTGGGAGCAGGATCCAGTACAGCTCCACATGGTGGAGACTTCTGATCGCCCTCTGGGTACATTCTGCAGTGGTCAGAGGCGTCTCCCAGAGGGAGCAGAAAGTGAACCTCAGACTGGCTCTGAGCGCAAAATGTCCCGCCCTCCTCTTGCTGGAGGCCCCGCCCCGCTCAGCCCTGGGAGCTCTTCACCACTGTCATGGCTTTGAATACTATCTATATGCTGACAACCCCAAGCCCCACCCTCAGACTATGTGTCTAACTGTCTACCTGCCATCCCCACTGGGAGGTGAAATAGACGCATCCCAGTGAGTTCCTCATGCAAACGTGCTCCACCTCCTGTCTTCCCCGGTTCATACCAGCTCCAAACTCCCACTGCTTAGGCCCAAACCTCACAGCCATTCTGGCCACCTCTTCCTCCTACTCCCACATCCAGTCTGTCAGGAGATACTGTTCATTCTATTTTCAAAACAGACTGAGAATTGGACCCTTTTCACCACCTCTATTATTGCTGCTTTGTTGCAGGCTACGATCCCCTCCCACCTGGGTAATCACGTGCACCTTCTACGTGGTGTTGTGCTTCCACCCTGACTCCTATAGACAGCCAATCGGCCTTCGGAAATGTAAGTCAGATTAGGGGACACCTCTTCTCAGAGGCACCAGTGTCTCCCCTTCTTGCTCAGCATAAAAGCCAAAATCTGCTCCCGCTCTCTGGTCCCCTCCCCTCTCTGTCTCCCCTGCTCATTCTGCACCAGTAACAGCTGTTCCTCCTGCCCCCAAAGCCCTCCTCCCAGGTATCTGCATGGGTAACTCCTCACTTCCATCTTATTTGAAATAGCACCTTCCTTCACTGCCTCTTAGCACCTCTGACCCCCTTACACAACACTATTCCTTTTCCAAAGCACTTACCAGCTTTCGATGGACTATGATTTCCTTGTTTTCTATACTCCTTGCATTGCTCACGGGCTTATTATCCAGACCCTAGACTGCCAGCTCATGAAAAGGGAGCTTTTGTTTGATGTACTCCAGGTGCCTACAGTTGTACCTGGCACACAGAAGGGGAGACGATAAACATGGTGGAATGAATGAATGCTGGCTCCTGGGATTGGTGGGAAACCCATTTCCTAGAGGGAGAGGTGTCATAGCCTGTAAAGGCAAGGAGGAAAGAGAAGGCATTTATGGGGAGATGAGCTTCGATGTGAGGAATATTTGGAGGGCGGTTAGGATGAATATGGCAGTTAGGTGAGGGAAATGAGTTAATATCTATAGGTTTAAGAGTCAAAGATGATGAGTTACAGGTGAAAAGCCCTCATGGATCCCTCTGAGGCCAAGTAGAACATATATCTGGGAGTGAGTATCTTGTGATGACAAGTAAGACGAGAAAATTCTGGGAAGGCCTGGAGCGGCCCCAGGGAACACCTGGAGCTGCAAACTGCTTGCACCAGGGAGTGTTCAGACCCAGGAGCTGCCAGTGGCCTGAGGCAGAACCTATGGGCAGAGGGACCCACCTCTGAGACTAAGCATTATTGCTTATACAAGTTGTGACCCACAGTACTGACTGCTATGCAAGTGCATGGCTACACCCAATGTGCTTGGGGAACAGCCCTGCCGAGGCGTGGGTATGGGCCATGGTCAGTGAGCTACGCTGGTTTTGATCTGGCCCTACCTGTCAACCATCTCCACGAATCTAATCATATCTGGGAAACAAGGGCTCTAACAGTGCCCGTGGGCGTAAGTTATAACTAAATATAATTGGCTAGAGCTATTCCAGCAGGGATTTGGGGAAAAATGTCATTTGCTTGGGTGCCAGTCTCTTCCATTCCATAGCACTTTATAGTTTACATAGAGTTTTAAAATAGATGCTCTTCGTTGAGCTTCAAAACACAGTCCCATAAGATAATCACATTCCTTTGACAGAGGAGGAAACGAAGTCTTCTTTTCCAGGAAAAAGAAGAAGCAAGACTCAGCCACTCGCCAGCTCTGACTTCACGTCAATCCTCTCTCCTCTCTCCCACACCGCCCCTGCCTGGGGGTGTTACATTGGTTTTTCTGGTTCACAAGTCGTTCATCGGACAACGCCCCTTGCTCTCCATCGCGCACACTGTCCCCATTTCGTCTCCAGACCACCCTTCAGTGTGACTCTTCACCTCGGTCTAGAGGAGGAAGAGCCCTGAGCCTGGGGTAAGGGAGGCTGGTGAGAGGCTGCACCACAGCTCCGAGGGGGCTGATGGGTCATATTTTGTGTAGACTATCAAAACACGTACGGTTATTCTGAATATAAATTACAGAACTTAAGGGCTTAACAAAGCCTGGCTGGTGGAAGGACATGTGAGATGCATGTGTTTATCAAGGGCATCATGGATTAGAGAGGGAACTCAGGCGGGGCCCAGGAGTGAGGGGCTGGCCTCAGCTGCATGGCACAGAAGGACTTCACCTCTCCACTAGCATCTTTAGCGGCAGCAAACTGGGGACGATAACTTCTGTCTGTCAAACTCGCAGGGCAGTTCAGTTCCATGAGACAAATGCAAGGGTGAATCTTCAGTAGAAAACCACGTATAAATGGAAGGGTCTGCATGGCGGCCTTACGCTCCTTCCTGTCCTGCACCCTCCCTCTCTACCGCCAACATAGCCACTTCTATAGAAATTTATGCCCTAAACGTTTCTTTTGCTTTGTCTTTCTTTTAGAAACACTAACAGTTTGGGGGAAAACGGCAGGTTGAGTGTTGATGTGGGACTTGCTGACAGTGTGGAGCAGCTTGCTGTCACTGGCTGGCACTTTCCTGCTGTCTCTCAGGCTCCCGGTCCCTGGCACAGGCTTCACAAGGACCTGCACTGCTGTCTGAAAACCTCCATCCTCAGAGGGCAGGGCCCACCGCTGCTCTCTGCCCCGTCCTCTCCTTGAGTTCGCCCTCAGTTCAGGGCACAGCACGGCTCCAGCTCTGAGCCTGAAGCTCTCGCCTTTACAGACACATGACCAACTCATGGCTCTGAATAGCATCTGAGATACAACCTGGGCCATCCAGCCTGCAGAACTGGGAGTGAGCTCAGGAGGGGTGAGGCAGAGTATGAGGGGAGGGGGCACAAAGCATGTGTAGGAAGACTGTTTTTTAAAAATATAATCTATCATTCACCGGAAGAAGTCAAGGGCAAGTGTACACACATACATACACACACATACACACACATACACAGACATACACACAAAGACAAAGACAACTCGGGGGATCTGGGAGACAGAGAGGCAACCAAATCTGGAGCTACGGGTGAGTGGGGAGGGTGCTAGGGGCTGAGGGCGGGTATGGGAAGCGTGACAGCCTCCTTCAATGTCCATCTGCTGGGAGGGGGCAGACAGGGGCTTTCATCAGGGGAATCAGGCAGATAAAATGACAAGTCAGTTCAACTGATGGGGAGCAAAGTATGGAGGGAGAGGGGATGTGGAACACAGTGGGGAGATGGTGGCGGTTGGTAGGGCAGTTTTAAACATCTTTGATCAAAACTGGACAGCATCTGCTCCATGCTGTTATTCATGGTTCAGTGCATCAAAGATTTGTGCAAACATTACCAAGTCTCTTAATTAAGGAAAAATTATGACAAAAAATTAACACATGTTAAAGACTAACTGCAAGAGGGCTTGCCTATAGATAAAGAGAAGGTTTAAACATGCCAGGTAACAAAGAGACATGTGCAGGAACTGTAGGAGCTGTATAGGAGGAGGCAACTCTTGGGGAAGGCGGCAGGAGGCCTCGGAGTGCAGGGGCTGGAGTTCTGTCTGAGGCCAGGGAGCCAGGGCAGGGTGTGGGGGCGGGAGTGGGAGAGAACCAGGCGGGTACAAGAGTCCGTTCCCTGGGTGGGTTCCATGTGGAAGAGAGGTGCTGCTGCCCCAGCAAGAGGGAGGAAAGACCTCAGAAGAGCTCTCTCTCGGTGGGTCACCAGCCACCTGGCTCTTTGGCCACTCCAGGGAAGAGGGGTGCAAGCAGGGCAGGGCTCTGAACATGACCAGTTCTCTGCTTCTCTCCCAAATGGGCCTGGACGGGCCGGGCTGCCTGCATGGGCTGCTGATGTTAAATCAGACAAAGCCCTTTCAGTGTGAATGTCATGGGCCAGGCCTTGGGCTGACAATGCAGGCAAAGACCAAGCCTTAATCCAGTGTCCCACTTGGAGAGAGCTCCTTTCCAGGATGCTGTGGGTGGAAAGGCGAGAGGGAGAGAGGCAGAGGTCTGGAGGTGAGGTGGAGTGAAAAGAGGTTTGGGTCCCCGCCCCAGCAGCTGCCCAGAAGTTGCAAATGTCCCTTGGTTTTCTCACTCCGTGCTCCCCATAGCTGCATCCTCCTATACAGTGTGAGTCATGCCAGGCTGAGAGTAAAGGGAGAGAGAAGAGGATGCAGCAATCAAAACTTAAAGGAAAGGGAGGCCTAACTCGTTCCAAGGTTAAATAAATCATAAAAACATTTTCAAAATAAAGCAACAAGAAAAAATCCTTTAAACCAATATAAACAAACAAATGAAAACCAGGAAATGAAAATAAGGTAGGTGGGGAGGAGAAAATAGGAAGAAAAACAATAAACTGGGGAAAGACAATGAGTATTAGAGCAGGCACGGACAGTCAGGTCCAGACGCCATGTACTTACGTTTACCTCGGTGATTGCTATATCAACAATGCTACCCACAACAATCAAGGCGTCAAACGTATTCCATGCATCACAGAAATAGTGCTGCATGGGGCAGAGAAGCCGAGGAAAGGAGAGAGAGAAGAAAAAAAAAAAAACAACAACAAAGGAGAAAAACAAAACAAAAAGGAAGAGGAAAAACAAAACAAAACAAAACAAAGCATGAAAGAAAGGAGAGAAGAGAAAAAAATGAGAAAAGAAAGAGGTTACGTGGGCATAGTAAATACTCTCTTACCACTCTACAGTCCTGGTGGCTCAAACCTGGGTCACCTGGTTTTCGCAGGGTGGAGAGGCCTGACAAAAGCTGGGTTAGTTCAAAGGTTACGCCGGGCTGTGGCCACTTGGGAGGGGAGCTGGCGGCCTCCCACCGCCTGCTCCCTCCACTCGGCCAAGCCCCTGGGCCTGGCACACAGGGCTGAGCTGGGACTAGTGGAAAAAAAGGAGGAGAGGCTCCCACTTTTTTTCCCTCACAGGACGACGGCAGGTTCAATAAAAAGCATGACTGGAGGCGGGTAAAAACAGGAAATTAAAACAAATAAATAAAAGGAGGTAAAGAGAGAGAGAGTGAGAGGGAAAGAGTAGGCAGAAGAAGAGGAAGGAGAAGGTTCCTGGGGAGGGCAGAGTCATACTCACATTAGTTTCACTGAGAATGACGTCAATTATGCTGCCAATTACGATGAGGAAGTCAAAAACATTCCAGGGATCACTAAAGTAACCCTACATAAGGGAGGGGCAGGCAGGATGGGGATTAAAAAGGAATATTAGACAGACAAGAACAGAGCAACCATCACCATCAGAATCACCGTTCCGGCACCTCAGTGTTGCAGCTGGAGTTCCAGACACCCTCTCAGAGCCCAGGAGCCCAGGGGAAAAGGAGGTGCCAGGAGGCGACTAGTCCAATCCTCCTGCCCTGCCTCCCCATGGCCGCACGGCTCCCCTTCCTCCAGACCATCCGCTTCACCACCCTCCTGCACAGAGGCCCTCTCTACTTCCCAGCAGGGCCTGGGCCAGGCAGCACAAGCTGCCACGGTGCAGGGATGTGGCTGGACTCTCTTTTCAGTCCACATTCAGCAACTCCCATGTCCCCGGTTCTCTTCATCAGAAGGGCCTGTCTGGAGGCGGGGAGGGACCACAGCTGGATGACCCCTTAGAGGAGAATCGGGCTGGATGACCCCTTAGAGGAGAACGGGCTGTGGTCCCATGGGTGATCTGGGAGCTAAAGAGAAACGATCAGTGTGATCCAGAAGGGTGGCCAGGTCATCTGAGCTCAGAGGTGCCTCATGTAAAGTTCAGCAATGACAAGGGGACCACGTCATTAAAACAATGTCTATAAAAGGCTGGACTTTATGCAGCTAGAATGAGGGTCACCTTGCTCCAGCTCTGGATGTGCCCAAGAATTTTCAGGGGCAGCTGTGTCACGGCAAAGGCTTTCCTGACTGAAAGGAGACATAGTGCAGGTAGGTCTCATAGTTGGGGAGCACAGGACATGGCCCTAGACAATGCTCTCCTAAGCAACACCTGCCCAGGCTCCTGTCCCAACACTGCCGTTCTGCTATAGGGTCCCGCTGAAATGCAGGTGCCACCAAAGTGACTGAAGTTTTCAAAGCCTTTCCTGAGAACTGGGTTGATAGGGGTGATCTGGATAGAGGGTATGGAAGGGAACAGGATTCTTAGAAAGGAGAGATTCTGGCACAAAAGAGGAAGGACAGTGTCCTGCTTTTACCACTTTACCCTATACCTATGGAATTTCACCTCCACCATATTTAGAAAAGGAAAGAGATAAATTTTTTTGCAAGACTTTAAGGTACTTGGACAACTGGCCAACCAAGGGATAGGCAGTCCCAGGTTCCCTAGAGGATTCCAGGAGTCCTGGGTGGGCCATTTGCCTATCTGTGAGGTGAGGGATTTAGAGGGCAGTGCTGTGACCACAGAGACATCTGCTCATAGGTGAGGAAACCCTAGGAACAGGACAGCCACATTTCCCATGGAGTGGAAAGGAGCTAGTACTAAAGACATTTGTCTTCTTTAAAAAAGGACATTTGCTCTTTTAGTTTTTAAATAAATGTCTGCAAAGGGGACAAAACAGGACTGGAGAACATTTTCTGAGCAGGACCAGACCTTTCCTATTCTCTAGCCGCCAGTTGGGGCTTCCGGGAGATGGAATTCCAGAGCCTGGCGAGTGGGTCTGGAAGCACTAAAGTTCTCCTGAGAGTTTCCCAGGTCTCTCTCCCAGCCCTCTAGAAGGCTGCCAACTCTCCCTTTTTATTTTTTACTCACAAGAGCCATGAGTCTGTGTCTTCCATTTCCTCCTGGCTCTATCCAGCTCCCTTAACTTCCCCACTTCCCAGCCATGCCCTCTTTCCAGAGGGATCGCAAGACACGCTGTCCTAGGGCTGTTATTCTTAGTGTGGGAGGTCAGGTCACAGGGAAAGGGGCCTCTTGGTTCCCAGGCATTTCTGCCAAAAGAAAAACAGAAGTGCCACTGTGGAGACTTTGCACAGCCAGGCTGGGGAAGTAGAGGTTGGCCAGGGCATGGGTTAGGTGAGGGTCAGCCTGAATACATGGCTCTCTTGTTGGCTTCCCAGAATATTTTTCAGAACATACTAGACCCTTTGAGGCAGAGAGGGGCCTCTCTCTCTCATTTAAATCAGATGTTATGAGCAGGAAACAACCAATTCCCTCCCAGGTTCTCAGATGTCATTCTCAGGGCAAATGGAGAGGGCTGATTTTGAAGGGAGGAAGGTAAAGAGTGAAGGCCCCAAATGGACTATAAAGATGCATATGTTTTAAAATTAGAATTTGGAAAACATCGGGGGATATCTCTAGATAGGAACACCATCTTTGTGGGTAGAGCTATTTCAGAAGGGAAGGGGAGAAGGTCAAGGGAGAGAAAGGAGAGAAACAGGAACGAGAGCAGAGTCCGGGATGTTCTGCATCCAGCCTAGAAAACGTGGTAACAAAACACGATTTGGGAGTGGGGACAGGAGGAGAGGGAAGAAGGCAGAAGGCTCAGGGCTCAAGAAAGGAGGATGATTGGAGTCTTTCATCCACGAGAGACCTGAAACAAAATGGGTAAGTTGGCCTTGGTCTGCAACACCTTTGAGAGGAGAAAAGGGAAAGAAAGGAAGAGAGGCAGCAAACAGGCAAAGGCGAGGTTAACACACAGGTTAATCAGCTGGGAGCACCAGGGGCGGGGCTGAGACCTAAAGGGACCCTGTCAACCTCCTGGGTGTGCATCACTTGTCACCACGTCTCCTGGGTGTCTATGTGCGTGTGCACATGGAAGGAAACATCACAGTCAATTCCTCCTGGACCACGGCTGCTTCCACAGCTTCATGGCTGCCTGCTACTGGGTTGGCTGGGCTCTGTGGAGATTCATGCCTCGTGCCTTGCCCTTGCCCTTGCCCTCAACAGGCTGTGCTGCTGGAGGCTTCTGAATGACTTCTCTGGTCTATGGCAAGCTACTTGGTGAGCCCAGTGCCTGGGCCTCCACTGGCTGCAGAAACCAGCCATGCCCTTGTCGCCAAGGGTTCCTGGGGACCCAGCCCTGAAGAGATTTTTTGCATGTAGCCAGAATGCATGGTCGGGGGACCATGTTTGTGGGAGGTTGTTGACAGGATCCCTTTAAGAGGCAGCTTTTAACCCTGACCCTTCCACCCACTTTCCCACCCCACTGTCCCACAGCCCATCAACCTTCCCAAGTGGACCCTGAAGACCCCTTCAGATCCAGCGTTTAGGTCAGCCTCCTCCTCCCACTCTTTCAGTTGTCCCTTCCTCCCACCCATTCCCACCCACTACCAGAAACAAGGCCCAACGCCCCCATTAGGTCAACAGGTGTCCAAGGGGGACACTGGCCAAACCCCTAAGCAGGCAGGGCCTGGGAGAATTACTTTTCCCCTAAACTCTCTGGAGTGTGAGAGCTTAGTGCTCTGTTATGCTCTCTTTCCCATTCTCCTATTCCCCCCTACCCCAACCCACCCCCGCACACCTGTTTTTGCCCACCTCCTTATTTGCTGGAAACCATTGGAAATGTGGATTTTGGGGGTATAATCGAAGAAAGAGGATGAAAAAAAAAATCACAGGTGTTTTTTCTCTTATACCTGCCACTCCTTCTTTCCCTGGTGACAGGTCCCAAATGGCAGGGAAGACACCAGGGCTAGGGACAGGTTTTCCTGGCTCTCCCTGAATGGTAAACCAAACCTCTTCGTGTCCAGCTCCTCAGAGTCATGCAGGCCTGATCGCCCAGATGGGATGGTGCTTTCAGGGCTGGAAGTCTTTCCCTCTCAATCCCTAGACCCTGCAGAATCAGTAGATGTCCCCTTTCGAGATGGGCTCTCCCCTGGCCATCCTCAGGAGGTCTTGTGCTCTCCCCTCCAGGCTGAGCAGCAGCACCCCTGAGATTGCTCACACCTCAGGGGTAACCCATTCTCCTGAGTGCCACTGGCCCTCCACTCACGGGCTGACGTGGGCTGAGATAACGTAGACCAAACTGATGCAAAAGTATCATATGATGCATTTCGCATGCACAAGAATTTTGGATTTTCCTCTCTTTTGGATTATCTGTGTCCTGATGCACCTCCTCCACTGGAGCTATTTCAAGTTGAAAGAGGCAGCGTGGTGGTTAGGGGTGGGGTGAGGTGTCTGGGTTCAAATCCTAACTCTGACACTTATTAGCTGGGTAACCTTAAGCAAATGACATAACCTCCCATGCCTCAGTTTCCCCACCTATAAAGTGGGATAACCATAGGGTCCTGGTGAGGAACCAGAGGGGATCTGTTAGGTCGGATTCACAGGGTTAATCTTGGGGGTGGGACAGCAGAGGGGAAGGCAAAGCCCAGGTGTCTGTGGAAGGAGGAGGGAAGAGGCCGAAGTTTCTGGAATCCTGAGCTCACCTCTCATCTGTCTTTAAGGCCTTTCCTGCCCATCTTGAGTTACTACTAAGTAGTGGGACTGTCTTGAGACTCTAAACTCTGGCTGGTACCATTTTGAGATTAGTGACAGTATGCAAGTTATCATGGCTAATTTTTGAGGCTCAAGTTCATCTAGACCAGTGGTTCTCAACCTTCCTAATGCCGCGACCCTTTAATACAGTTCCTCATGTTGTGGTGACCCCCACTTTCATTGTTACAAATTGAACATAATTAAAGCATAGTGATTAATCACAAAAACAATATGTAATTATATATGTGATTTCCGATGGTCTTAGGCGACCCCTGTGAAAGGGTCGTTCGACCCCCAAAGGGGTTGCGACCCACAGGTTGAGAACCGCTGATCTAGACAGTCAACTGCCATGTTCTTAGAAACCACTATTCCTACCAGGAAAGACTCAGCTTCCGCTCCTCTGCCAGGAGGGCTGGGGAGCGAGGCCTGAGCAGCCGAGTGGGCTGTTATCCAGTGCTGACCCCAGAGAGCTGTTGTGGGAGAGGTGGTAGGCTTGTGTCTTTGCCCTTGAATTCTGGATTCTTAGTTCCTTTGCTGCTCAGAGCAGAGTTCACCACTGTGATCTTCACAGAGGCAATACCAGCTTTAAAGCAAGGTGGTAAGAAGGAATCCACAGAGAATCTGCACACCTGGGGTTGTGTTGTGTATTCTTAGTAATTTTGAGGCAAAAGTTGTTTCACTGCCATGACTTGTTTTTTCTTTTCTCTATTCCTCTTGCCTATCGTCCGCGTGTACTTCCTATCGTCCGCGCGTACCTCCGCTGGTCCAGCAGAGAG